ATCAAAATTCAGATGCTTTTCTTTCACCCCACTCCTTGCTTATGCCTCGTGCACAATACATCCGAGGATCTCTTGCTGACGTTTCAGTTTCTGCTAATATTTAGCTTGGAGCCCTGACATGCTGGGGAAACGCTTTGGCAAAGAAATATGTGGCTGTTTCCCTAACCCTGAAGGAAGCAGGAGAGTAGAACAGCATATTTCAATCCCTACAGGCCGTTTGAACAGTGCATCCTGTCCTGACTTGTAGCATGATGTTGAGAGAGATTTGACCATGGGGCTGATGTTTCAATCTTTACAACACAACTTTTCATAGAAATAACATAGAAATCTGTTTGTAGTGCAGATCTTAACTTGAGAGTTGCTGCTGACACCTTACACTATCCTCAGAATGAAATGTCCCTGGTGAAGCATCTCTTACATTGTTGGTCTCAGCATATGGGATGCAATATCTGATTTTAATCCAGGGTTAATTCCTTTAGAAATGTATTATCCATATGTTAAGTGTGATTGATTAATCACTACATTTGTTTTTCCACTTTATGAAGGGACTACATTTGTACTGTTTGCTGAACATATTAAGATATTTCTAGCAGCTGTTGAGGCAACATTTTAGTAAATTAAATGGATTATCTCAAGAGCCAAACTCAAGCACTGTGCAGGTTATTCATTAGCATGGGGACAGAAGCGCTGGTTTGTTTTCCGTATGTGGACATTGGTATGTACTAACTCTAGATGGGGCCCTCTCACCAGGCTCTTGAGGGGCTGATGGGATCCTGCTTCCCAGTGCCCTGACTTGCATACCTTAGACAGACTAACTCCAGTCTAGCAAAATGCTTCTCTTGCAGGAGGACAGTTGGCTAGTGTTGCATCTTCTTCTCTGGATCTTCACTCAGCTGCTAGCAGAATCTTAACACATTGGTTTTTTTAGAAGTGTTTATTGATGAAAAGTAACTTGTCCACTTACCGTTTTCTCATACTGAAACGGTTAAGTACCACTAATGACCCAAGCCCCTTGCTCTAGTGTAGGAAGAGGGGGAAAAAGACTTTTATATAATCCCTCCTCTCTGTCCACAATTTAATTTGTCCGACATCATTTTTTTTTTTCCCCCCCCAAGAATAAACTCATCTCAACTGCAATGACTGGTCAGTTATGTGCCTTGTGTCTCTGCGGTCTACACCCATAATTGATGTTGTGTAGTAAGCAGACACAATATGCCTGGTTTCTGTATACTAGTCTGTCATGGAGCAGTTCCCATAGAAAAATTATTTCTGGTACCTGAAGTGATTCCCAAATTGCTTTATCCCTCTGTCAAACTGCTGGCTCTCTGAAGAGTTAAAGATAACATGGGTCTGACGCTGACAAAAGGCTTGCTGATTCTCTTCTCCCTGCCCAATGCATAGAACTAATTGGGTTGTGGTGGATAATCAGCTGAATATGACCTCCCAGGGGGCTGCTGTAGCCAAAAGGCTAATGTGATCCTTGGATGCATAAACAGGGGAATCACGAGTTGCAGTAGAGGGGTTATTTTACCTCTGTAATTGGCACAGATCTGACCGCTGCTGGATTCCTATGTCCAGTTCTAGTGGCCGCAGTTCAAGAAGGATGTTGATAAATTGGAGAGGGTTCAGAGAAGAGTTGTAAGAATGATGAAAAGATTTGAAAACATGCCTTATAGCAGGGGTTCTCAAACTGGGGGTCGGGACCCCTTGGGGTCACGAGGTCATTACATGGGGGGTTGTGAGCTGTCAACCTTCACCCCAAACCCTGCTTACCTCCAGCATTTATAATGGTGTTAAATATATTAAGATGTGTTTGTTTTATTTGGGGGGGGTCACACTATGTGAAAGGGGTCGCCAGTAAAAAAAAAAAAAGTTGGAGACCCCCTGCCTTATAGTGATAGACGCTGAGAGCGCAATCTGTTTAGTTTAGAAGATGAAGGGTGACCTGATTAGTCTATAAGACGGTACATGGGGAACATAATGCTAATGGGTCCTTCAGTCTACCAGAGAGAGGTCTTACAGTGGCTGGAACCTGCAGCTAGATAAATTCAGATTGGAAATAAGGCAAACTTTGTAACCGTGAGGGGAATTCATCATTGGAACAATTTATCGTGGGTCCTAGTGGATTCTCCATCACTGACGGTTTTTTAAAGCAAGAGTGGCTGTGTCTGCTCTAGGGGTTATTGTGGGGAAGCTCTACGGCCTGTTATGCAAGAGGTCAGACTAGATGATCACAGTGCTCCCTGCCGACCTTGGAATCAGTGAATTAGGATGGCCACCTCTCTTGACTCCCTGCTCGGGGGGGAGAGGGGGGAAGAGATACGGACATGTTTCTCATCTAATCTAAAGTAATCCCTGAATTCCTGGGTGGCTCCTCAGAGCCTTGTCTCCAGGGTCTAGGGAGCAAAAGATGAAGATTAAAGGGAGTTAAAATGCTGTTGAACTTTTATTTTACTTGGGTGTGGAGAAATATTTTCCTTCCTGCGCTCTCCCCTGCTGGAGGAAGTGACGGATGTTCACCCTTTACTAAGAACTAGGGTGAGGCTACTGCCAGTTCTTGGAGGAGTCCCATGAAGTTGGTACGCACCCCCCCCCCCCCCCCCCGCCCATGCTGAGTGTGAAAGGCTTGCTGTGCTGGCTCAGCAGTGGCAGTCTTTGAAGGGGAAACACAGCTCAGTGGCCTCCTTTTCACAATAGGAACTCATGTAAAATCCTGCTCTGTAGCCACTGAGCATAAACCGACGGGGAATACGAATTGTGGGCTGACTCCTGCTGGGACAGACTGAGATGATTATTACTCTTCCATCATTGCCCCAAGCAACCCCATTAAGGCAGCCTTCTGCTAACGCCCATCTCTGCAGCACCAAGTGAGCTCTGCTCTTCCTCAAAGCACTCATCTTAAGGGGGCAGGGGGCTGCTTGATCTACGCGAGGCTGACATACACTGTAGCATGGAAGAGGATTCAAGACTGGCAGATTAACTGGGTGTTAAGTAACCTAATGAGAAGTGTAGCAGCAGGGGTGCGTTGTAAAGTCCTGCCTGGTTACTGGTCTCTTGCTAGACATTGAAGGCTAAAGCTATGTCTATGTTACAGCCTATGTCTATCCTACACATCGTCTGTCGCTCAGAGGTGTGAATAAACCACCCTCCAACAGACAAGCCGGGAGAAGCTCTCTCCCATCGGCACAGACTGTCTTCCCCAGATGCGCTGCATTGGTACAGCTGTGCCGCTGTATGTATAGAACAGCTTTTGTACATGAGGTAGAGTCTAAACTCTTTGGTAGTCTTTTAAAACTGTTTTTCCTTTAGTAGATTATAACACTTGTCATGGTAGTAGCCAAACTTACTTTTCTAAGCATCTTGTCTGATGATTTATCCCTAAAGCATCTTGAAACATGTTTCCGGGTGCCCATCGTTATGGCGTAGATGTGAAATTTTACTTGTTGGTTAATGTTGATACTGCACTAATTAAAGGGAGACGGGAATGGGGTCAGTCTGTGAAACCTAGCAGAAGGAGAAGGTTGGATATTGCTTTTAACATCCCTGATTTCTGCTCTCCAAATGCTTCACTTTCTTGCTACTGCGCATTAATCAGGTGCTGAAACAAGTGAGACAGGAAAATGATAAAACTTGCCAAAATTATTTGGAAAAGGGATATGTTGGTCTAAGGAAGTTAATAAAGCTTGACTAATGTATGCTATGTTCATGTAGGGTGTTATGCAAATAACTGACTCTACACCTTAGCTAATGCAACCAGATGGGCTATCCCTTCCTCATCTCTTCTCTACAGTGCTTGTGTTTCCATCTTCCCCTGCAGCAGCGTGGTGATAGAACAACTTTCCTGCCTAGGTTTGTAATTCTCTGCTGGAGGAAAAAAATAGCCTGCTGCTAAGGCATGAATAATGCACTTCTATTAAGTTTATCAGTTGGCTGTTATAGGAGCAATTTCATTAAGTCAGATAGCTAGCGTGCAACAGCTTTCTCTAAAATTCCCAATAGGGGACTTAATTCTTAACTCAGTTATAGCAGTCTAATGGGAATATAATTCCACTCCAAGCACTAGTGTTACACTGCTGTCAAACTTGTCTACTAGCAGGGAGAATCAGCCCTGTCCTGCTTGCTAGTAGGGTATCCAGCCGAAGTGGTTAGAGGGGGCCGGGCCGTAGCACCAGCCCCTGCAGCTGTGAACGCTGACCAGCCTGGGTGCTCCCCGGGCAGTGACTTGGCATGCTCCTGGGAGTAAGGAGGGGCTGTGGGAGCAGGTTTGAGCCCCTGGCCTAGCCCCAGCAGATAATGGCCTACTCTCCTCTTTGACCTTAATGTCTTCACGCCCTGTCCCCCTGGGTCAGGCCTGGGCTCCGTCTCCCCCAGGAGCCTGCCGGACACCAACCAGCACCAGCTGCCCCAGGGCAGGTGCAAGGCAGAACAGCTGCAGGGGGGCTGGGTGCCCCTTCCCTCCCC